TGCCCTGATCCTCCACATCGATTGCAAGTTGCCTGATAGAAGAATCCTCCTTGCAACCGCTGAGAGATCATTCCTGTACCATTGCAGTATGGACATGATACCTAAACTCTATTGTATACCATGTATATGATTACAGCATACGTTCCTACATCCCGCTTCGCTTTTCTGGAAGAGATACAGAAGAAGTTATGTGGACCACTGGTTGTTAGAATATTAAAAGCTGACATTTTCCTTCAATGACTTACTTTCTTGAAACCCGGTTCAACTTGAGTACCTTTGCACCGTGGACAGTCTTCGACTACATTGACAAAAACATTCTTTTGCGCACCTGAATGCAAACTCTATATGACAAAAAAGAAAAGCATCAAAAATTAAGTACATAATTTTTGATAATTATATTAAGAAAAATCACCTCTTACTGCTTCCTCAAATGAGATGTCCATCACCATTTCCTGTGCATGAGAATGTCCAAACTGAGAATCGGCGAAAGAATCCCAATCGAAGCCGCCCTCCTTCAAAAAGCTAAAGTAGCTAGAGCACACAGAATATCTAAGCAAACTGAATGCCTATTAAAAGATTAGGTTCATGATATTCTAAGAGGGCCGCGATTCTAAACATATTTTCATAATAACATAGTATGAATACTGAATAAAGTTTCAAAAGGGTAACGAGATGAAAGATGACGGAGGGAAACAATCATATGCTCAAACTCACTCTACCAAATCCAAAGGCACGACGAAATATCTCATTAACGTCGACTGTTCCTTTATACTGCCATTCACCACCTCGTCCTCCCATACCTGAACCTGGCGTTGTACCAGCGCCAAAAGTGTCATACTCTTGTCGCTTATTATCGTCGCTTAACACCTAAAAGAACTGGGGCAAATTCTTTTGATAAAAGCGACCAAATTATGATTCAGTGAGCTCACCTCATATGCTTCAGAGATTTCTTGGAACTTTTCCTGTGCTTCCTTGCTCTTATTTACATCGGGGTGATACTTCTTGGCTAGCTGGAATAGTGGTAATGATATCTGTTGATGAAAAAGAAAGAATACAAAAATTAAACCAACTAACTTGAAAATATGCTTTTTTGATTTCTTTAGCAGAAGCATCTTTTTTGATACCCAATGTTTTGTAATAATCTTCTTTATTAGACGGTCGGCTTGAGTGAAAACTTCGCCTATTCAAATCTAAAAAAAACAACCTAAAACAAAGCCACTACTAAATAATATACAGTATTAAATGCCTACATTCTGACGTCCTTCTTCGCTCAATAGGAATCCGTTTTAACTGAAGGTTTTGAGAACATGTAGAAAGTGGAGCTATCTGAAATGTTTTTTAGTAGAGGTATGCCTTGCTCAAAACTTCACGAAAGGCATTGTAGATCATCCTAAGTACCATACTGAGAAAGTAAAAAACCCAATTGATATGATTCATTCCGCTATGATTTTCCTCAAAACGTTATTTTTGAAAAAACATGAGTGAAGGGATAACCTTCCAAGTTCAGCCATAGAATTCATTCATTTCTACGGCTGAACTTGAAAGTTAGATAACGATAGATTGAGACTCAAAGGTATGGATAAAAACAAGATCAAAAGTACTTTTGAATACGAATTGTGAGGCCGGGGAGAGAACTTGCTGAGCTGGTTTATTACAGTTAGCGTAGCCGTTTTGCATCGGAACGTCTTGCATAAAGCTCAGGCCATGTCAGGGTAAAATGAAATTTCGAGCTCTCATCCTGTGATTCAGATATTCTTTGAATTCAGACAAATAATTCGCCGTGATAAGCGAGCAAATAGCTCTGGAGGTTTGAATCACTCCTCCCACTCAGTGATTTCCTCCCTAGCACCGCTCTTGGCTTCTCTCAGAAGCAGTTCTTTAACAAAGAAGGCATGCGATCGTTGCAGACCAAAAGCCGAGAATTTGAGACCGCCCCTCTCGTCCCTGTCAATCCAAAGAAGGTTCGGAACCTCTTTTTTGGCAATTTCACCGTAATTGAAGTTTCTATTCGTGTTCATCACATCGAAATGGTCCAGAAAAGGTAGAGGTCCTAAAGCCAAGTTTGCTCGGACACTGCCTTATGGTCATACAATGCAGAGCTGGTTCCAAAGACAAAATGATCGAAATTGGAAGTCAGGTATCATAACTCCCTTTGAGTACACAGGAAAATGCAAAACAGAGACGGTTTTCATAGCGTTTCAAACAAATTCACTTCTGCTCTCGTTTGGGTGATAACTTTTCAAAACAAATAGTATGACCTTACCGTGCTGAACGAATACAACTTCGCATCAGTAAAACAATATGATATAAGAAAATACAAAATTTTTATAGTGTTTAGCACGGTTTTCGGAACTATAAGGTGGTTCACAGCATACTTTTCAGTCAGTTCTTAGAATACCCAAAACATTGGAACCATATGAGTAGAAATTTAGTGAATTAATCAACTGCGACAAGTATTATGGTTAAAAACCAACTGAACAACCCTGTTTTTTTGTATATTCACTTTTTGCTGCAAAAACA